ATATTCGGTATTCTTTTTTCACCAATATAACAATAATAAATAATAATATTATTTTCCCCAATATATAGTTTTAATAGAGTTTAAAGTGAGGTCCATCTTGCATTAATAATTAACACTAGCTGTCTTTATTTACTTAAGTGCTCTGAGACCCACCCCACGTGAAGGGTGCTATATGATTGCAAATAGTTGTTGCTGCTGCTTTACCCACAAAGCCACTAAAGTATAGTTTTCACATTGATGGAAGCAAGTGATGGGTATTTTGTTGAGATGTTTCTGTCATTTTGACCATTTTACCCAAATATTTATTTCTGGTTCACACCACTGGATGGTACTAAATAAACTGTTAAATCTATAAAATGACTTTATAGCAAATTCATATACAATATTGCAGTATTATAAAATCGGTTCCACTCAATGGAATGCCCCTTAAATTACACGGTGAAAGGATTCACCCATAAGATGACTCTTAACCATTTCTGACGTAGAATATGAGAAATACAGAGAGAAAGAGAATCCCAATATCCATTCATCAGTCACTCTTTGTAAGCTCATTGGTCTGGTTTCCCAGATTTAGCTGTTCTCAGTTAAGATGATGATGAACATATGAGTGTTGGGTAAAGACACAATTGGCTTAGCTGTGATACGTTCATGGTTGAATAGCCTGCTGATACTCACTGTCTGGCCATTAATGTGAGGAATGATCAGTTGGTGGTGTACTAGAACAAGAAAGAACCCATGAAAACTATTTGCCAGAAATCATCAGCACTTACATTGCCACACTCTGCACTCTATAGCAGTTCTTTTTGTCAAACACTTTGAGATGTTTTGATGTGATAAGGCACTATATCAAAAGCAAATATTATTTTAAAGAGTGGGGGAAAATTGAAGGGTGCGTATGTTCCTATTTGTTCCACTCTGATTGGATGAAGCACACTTAGTTAATTTTGTTCAACGTTCAAAACCACAGAAAAAATTTAGTTAAAAGTCTATAAGTGGGACATATGGCCACTGTGCTGCCATTCATCTTCTTGTAGATTAGATTGAAATATTTTACAAGATACTGTGTGTTTGGAAGTTTTCAACCGAGGAGGAGGTGGCTCTGGGAATTGAAGTATTCTCTTTCTCTGGGACTTAATGTCTACCTTACCTTGAGAAATGCTGCAGAACATTTATGATACGCATTTTAAATATAAAATATTAGTCTGAGGATGTCTGTTTTGATGAAGTGCTACCACACTTTATTCATATTGCCTATTCATATTTTTCTCATCTCTCTTCCTCCCTTACCACATTTGTTGGCAGTTACATATACAATCATATACACATACACAGAAAATTTGGTAATAACTAGCTCAAAACTTGCTCAAAATTTAGTAATAGCTCAAAACCTTGCTGAAAACAAATTGATCTGTTGACTATTGCATAACAAAAGTGCTTTCTATGAAAAATAATGCTGTGTTTCAAAGGCTGAGCTATTTTGAGAGGACCATGAATTTGAAGCGGTATGAATTCACAAATGGCACTATTCGAAAAGAGAAGGAAGTTTTTCCATGTGTCATGGCCAATATTCCCCCCAAATAAATAAGTCACTCACAATTTTTCAAATCTAATGGTAATATTGGTATTTGAAAGGAATTTGTAAAGTTTCTGACCAGCAGACCCCAAAATCCTTTTGAATCATTACAAAGACTGGCTGAATGTCGATTGAACTGGCACAATGTATGTTCTCTGTTTTAGATAACTACTGTCGTGGAAAATTTCAAAGCAAAACAGAGAATTTTGAATTCTTCAAGGTTGTACTCATTATCTGTCTCAGCACTATTAATATAAAAGCAATCGAGGGAAAAGATACACTTCTGAGACAGTTGCCAACGTGAACATGAAACAGAGTATGAATGTATGAGCGGAAATTATTTTATTATACAGCATGGGTGCGCTTGTTTAACAACTCTGAAACCTACTAAATTATATACCTCGAATGATCTCTGTGGCATGGATTTATTTCAAACAAGTTGTATTGTGAAAATGTGTAAGACATTGAGAGTTACAGATAGACTTACTCAGCCAATGTGTGTGAAAATAATACCTTGTGTCTAGTCAGCTTTGTCTAATGATAAACACTGTCTGGCATTCAATCTGCTGGTAATGGCAACATAGGCAGAATGACTGAACAATAATTTTCTACCAATATTTTAGCACTTTATTTTTCAAAATGTTTCTTATTCTGAAGTAGTTTTCCATTCCCATTCAAGCCACAGATTTGAAAGCTGCAACAAATTGTCTCTTCTTCCTTCAAAGTACCAGCCTTGCATTTGCTAGCTTATCTAAATCTAATATCATTTAATTTAGTCAGAGTTCTGCTATCATAAATATATTGATGCAGAAAGTGACTTAGCCGAATCTAAAATTTGATTCATTGTTTAAAAGTGTGAAATATAAAGTTTGCTTCAGTGCCTAAAGATGTGATCTAATGCAAGTTGTTTGTGAGGCAGTTTGCACAAATGGACAGTCATTAATACTGCTTCAAAATGCATCATTTGGAAGTGCTAATATTTGAATACGCATTTCAGATTGGAAATTCTTTGGGTTTATAAAATAGAAATCTACTCCACATGTAATTTATAATATTATTGACATTAGAACTCAGTAATATTGGGATTAGGACCTTACTTAAATGAATCCCTTTACAACCGACTCAATTGGTGTTTTAGTCCACGGGTGGTAGAGTTGAAGTCTTCTTTAGAAATATGGCATTAAAACCATCAAATAAACTTTTGTGTCAAGAGATTTTTTTTAACTTGAAAGTAAGTTGGCTGTACTTGCATTCAGAAAATAGGATCTCAGAATCAATGGGAGAAGCCTGTTGATGCAATTATTACCTTTCGCCAAGTTTGGTAATGAGAAATCTTGATGGGTTGATGACCTTCTTCTGTGTTGTTCATTTCTAGGCCAAGGAAAGAATGCTTTTAACGTCACATTGGCAGCAGTAATTCATGAATAGCTTCAATGCTTTTTAAATTAATTTGCACTTAAAATCCAGCAATGATTGGAGCAACTTGACAAGAAATGGGAAAAAAAATCTAACAAGCTTCCAACACATTCCAACAGCTTCATTAAAATCCTTTTTTTAATTGATGTTGGTGACTCATTTGAAAATGTTGCTAATTAGAAATTTTGCAATATTTTTTCAGAACCTTACACTACGCACACTTTGCACTTTGCGAAGAAATTGCAATTGTCTATTGAGTGTTTGCTACATACTGCATCTTGCTGATGTAAATATGTTCATTGTTAAATTTATTTTTGTTTAAATGTTACTGTCAATTCACTTTACAGTATATTCTGTGAAATGCTTTGAGACATTGCGAAGAAGTGATAAGCATTACATCAAATGCAAAGATTATTATTATTATCCTAGACTTGATGTGATGAGCAGGGCTGCAATTATTATGGGATATATGGGCCAGTTTCTATGTATCTGAGGCATGAGATGGGCTGTGGGTCAGTAGTTATTTTCTACTAGGACCCAGATGTTCCACAAAACTTTTCTAGCACTTTGCCAGTAGCATGTAGTGTATACTTAAAATCTAAAGGAAGCATAAGAACACAATAGAGGTTTTAGCTGTACTTTATGATGTTAGGTTTGTTAACCTTTCTCCTTTTTTTGCTTGTCTCTCAATAGCTACTTTTTGTTTATTCTGAAATTTAACCCCATGAATTGCCCTTGCTACTGACACTGGAGTGTGCTCTTTGACAAAATACTTTAACAAAATATTTGAATGCAAAACTACCATTTACTTAAAGACATTTGATATTTTGCTGGAAAATCTATTTTACATTTCATTGGAATGAACATATTGGCTTGTCCTGTCCTTATTTCATCTTCATAAATATATTCAGGAAGTTGAATATAAGTGTGCATTGAACAAACTCATGTTAATTACTTTACATGCTTAAAGGTTTATGATGAGGAAAATTAAACGTGACATCAGTTGGGTTTCTTTTTCAACAATACTGTGATTTGACAGTAAATCTGATATATATTAAAAAATTGGTAAGTCAATCCACGACTGTTTGTGGGACACTGCTGTGCGCAATTGGCTGCTACGTTTTGCCTACAAAATATACAGTCATTTCACTTTACAGCATATTCTGTGAAGCGCATTGAGACGTCTCGAAGATGTGATAAAGCGCTAGACCAAATGCAAGGATTATTATTAATATCAAATACTATTAAAATAATTAAATATACTATATTGAACAAAACTTTAACTTCTGTTTACTTTCTGGTAACTCTATTTTGCTTGCATTATACAGTACCTCTGGTAGTGCAAAGTTAAAGGTTGCTGCAAGTTTAACTTTGTAAGTCCACTGTAAATTGCTTGCTACCTGATGACACTTTGGTTTTATTTTAGAACAAGTGAGATCCTTCATTCAGCTCTTATTTGGCAATTTTTGCTGGTCCAAATGTACCATCTTGTATAATACAGTATTAGGCCATATATACACAGGTTCACTTCCTCCTCTGTGCTGAGTTTCCTGATCGCCCACCAAGCAGTAGTTTGGGGTCAACATTTAGCTTGAGTGCTGCATGAGGGAGGTGAGGGAGTCAAAATCAGCCAGGCTTCTCGCTTCTGATTAACATCCAGTGCTAGAAAATGTGTGTCATAACAGCATCAAGCTGAAGTGTGGGTAGCCTGCTGAAACTCATTTCTGGGATCGTGCATGAATAATGACCATTTAAGCAAGGTACTTGTAGAACTGTATTCCAGCAAAATGAGGGAGGAAAAATCTGGAGGGGGGGAGGGAAAGCAATGTTTAAATTTCATAGTTCAACACATTCTGCATTCTGAAATAGAAAGGTTGGGTCATTTATTTCCCTGGTTCTTATTATTTGTTTTATTTTATCTTACACTTTCTGTTTGGGTCTTTAATGCAATAATAGACAATATAATAAGCTCCAAAATTTGTTATGTTAAGATTACTGATTATTTTTACAGAAATCACCTGCAAAGAAGTTGAGCCATGCAATTAGCAAGTCCCTTGGATGTGTACCAAGCAGAGAGCCACCTCATCCTCTATACCCCGAGATGCCAGAGAAACCTCTGGATTTGGCCCATATAGTGTGAGTAATTAGCTTTTATCTGAAGTTAAGCCCAGATGTGAATAGTGCTGCAGTGGTTTCTTTATTTCATGAATAAATGGAGACACTAAAGTGATCACAGAGGGATTTGGGCAATGCACTGTGAGAACTGCAGTAGCTTCCTTTGTACCACATCAAAATACACTTTGAATTGATTTCTCATAAAGTGTCAAACCAACCTGGTTGCATTAATCAGAGTGGATTGCATAGTGAAGATCTTATTACTACATTACAGCAAAGTCTTCAGTAATGCATAAAACCTATCTTAAAACTGTTGTAATTATTTCAGTTTTAGTTCTTAAATGCATCTACCAGCTGCAGTGTATCGGATTATGAAAAATGCAAGAGAATGAAATTCAATCCACGCCAGCTGGTTAAGTGCTGATTTATTTGAGTATCGCTTCTTCCTAAACCAATACTTTTATTGGCTGGTGTTGATGCAGTCCATTCTGTATTTTGATTTGAATGTTTTCACGAATATGCTGATGGTGTTGAAACTGAGTTACAAACAATATAAGTAGATTTTAACATTTCGTATTGGCTGCTGTTCACATCAGAATTAGCTGAAAATTCAAACTTTGAATTTTGTTTCTGTTAAAGATGCATAAAAAATTGGGTTAACCCATCACTCAACATGATTAGTCTGGTAAATTGTATTGCGTTCATTAATGTAAGAAATACTAAGGATGCATTACTCATAATATACAGAGAGGAATAGGTTTGTTTTGTTGTAACTTCTTTTGAGGCCTCTAACCCTGTCTATGTAAACTTGGAATGTTGAACATAATGGAGTCTTCAGCAACAGCAACAAGATTGCATTAATAGAGCGCCTTTCACGTCGGGAGGACGTCCCAAGGCGCTGGACAGTTGGGAAATGGTCAGGGTGAGGGGAAGGAAGAGAGGGAGCGAGGAGGGGGTAGAGAGTGGAGCTGAAGGCACGTTTGAAGAGAAAGGTCTTGAGACCGGCCTTGAAGGAGGAAAGGGAGGAAGCAAGGCCAAGGCACTGGGGGATGGAGTTCCAGAGCCTACGGGCTAAGAGGCTGAAAGCCCGGCCACCGATGTTAGGGCGGGGGATGTGGAGCAGACCGGAGCCAGAGGAACGGAGGGTACGGGCAGGTAGGTAGGGGGATAGTAGGTCGGAGAGGTAGGAGGGAGCAAGGCCGTGAATGGCCTTGTAGGTGAGGATGAGGATCTTGAATTCGATCCTCTGGGGGATGGGGAGCCAGTGGAGGCGAGCGAGGGTGGGAGTGATGTGGTCACGAAGCCTGGTGCGGGACAGTACACGAGCTGCAGAGTTCTGAATGACCTGCAGCTTGTGGAGGGAGGTGCCGGGAAGGCCGACGAGGAGAGAGTTCCCATAGTCCAGCCTTGAGTTGATAAAGGCGTGGACCAGAGTTTCAGCAGCGTGAGGGGTGAGGTAGTGCCGTAGTCTGGCGACATTCCGGAGGTGATGGAAGGCGGTGCCAGTTGTGGCGCGGATGTGGGGAAGAAAGGACAGCTCAGGGTCGAACAGAACGCCGAGGTTCCTGATTGGCTTTGAGAGGTGGAGAGTGCAGCCTTGGATGCTGATGCTGTCAGCGCCTGAGGTGCGGAGGCGCTGACGTGAGCCAATCAGGAGGGCCTCAGTTTTGCGCACGTTGAGCTGGAGAAAGTTGTCTCTCGTCCAGGACTCGATGTCAGACAGGCAGGCTGTCAGGACATCGGTGGTCGTGGAGTTGAGGGTAGAAGTGGAAAGGTAGAGTTGGGTGTCATCTGCATACATGTGGAAGTTAACCCCATGTCTGCGGATGATGTCACCAAGGGGGAGCATATAGGGAGCAAAGGTTTCACATTGAATTTTTTGGGGTCTTTAGCAACACCACGTTCATTCAAAGCTGTGAACAACAACAATAACAAATTTCATTTATAGAGCGCCCTTTGCGTCGGGAGGACGTCCGATGTGAAGCTATCATTGCATGGAGGCAATTGGCCCCCTAAATCCTTATTTGTGATGCAGCAGCAAATTCAATGGCAGTCAATTAGTCTTTGCTCTCTGTGTTATTGCTCAGTTTATCTTGACCTTTTGTTGTTTCCTGAAGGATTTCCATTGCAAGCATGCTGCAAATGTTATACTAAATGGCCAAGAACAGATAAAGCCATCATGTAGACAAAGTTATTACATGTTTCAGGAGTAGCATGTTGCCAACAGGACGCAACAAAAAGAACTATTTGCGCCTGTATAACGCTTTTCACATAGGAGACCATTTCAGAAATCTTTACAGTGACTGCGCGACCCTGAAGTGTGGGGGAAAAAGAAGATTTTGAAAGCAGAAATGGAGGGAATTAGGGAGAGGCTTCCAGACACATTCACAGACCAGGCGGTGATAGTGGTGCTGCTGCTGTCAGAGATACTACTCCTGAAGTTAATTGGAGCACCTCTGTTCAATTTTGGCTTGGAACGATTTCTACTTTGTCTTCATTCCCTTGTGTTCTCACTATGTGTTATTACTCTAAACATCATAACAATGGCCTTTTATTATTAATTTGATACAGAAATGGCTGAAGAGCTATGGCTAAAAATCCAAATCCAATTTTGGCAGTCTGAAACCGATTTATGTTTTTTGTTGGTGACAAACCCATTTTGGAACATATTCAATTTACACTGCTGTAGTATAATGCAAAAATGTCACTGTGGTTTTCAATCTATCACACCACACCGTCCCCCCAAAAAAGCATTGGTCACAAATATCCATTGATATCCAGGAACCCCTGATAAAGATGCATACGGGTATATCAGGTGAGATCAGGATCGGGCTTGGATACAATTCACCACAGTCAGAAAGTTTGATGATGCTTGTTCTTCACATGTCCAAAATACCATATAAATGACATACTAGAGGGAAATTGCGGTTTGTAGACTCTTTAACATCTCAATGGCAAATGGGAAATGCTTCCTATAACCGGGTGAACATCTACCAATGTGTGTCAGTCTGACATAGTTCCATATTCTGGAAGCATTATTTGCAACTGGAGTTGTTATTAAAGACTGCAGTTATGAATTGTCCCAACTTGGATTACCTTCTCTGCCTTCCCCCACCTCTGCAATGTCGCCCGGCTCCGACATTGTCTCACACCGCAGGCCCCCGAAATCCTCATACACGCCTTCATTACATCGAGGCTCGACTATGCAAACTCGCTGCTTGTCGGCCTCCCCAACTCCTCCCTCCACAGCCTGCAGATCATCCAGAACCTTGCAGCCCGTGTCCTCTCCCGCACTAGGCTCCTCGACCCTATCACCCCCGTCCTCACTCAACTCCACTGGCTTCACATCACACACAGAGGATACAGTTCAAGATCCTGGTTCTCACCTTCAAAGTCCTCTACGGTCTTGCTCCCCTCTACCTCTCCTACCACCCTGTTTGCTCCCTCCGCTCAGCGGGCTCTGGCCTGCTTCATGTCCCTCGCCTTGCTCGCCCCACTTCCACCGCTCTGCCCCATCCTCTGGAACTCCATCCCACAATCCCTCCATCTCGCCTCCTCCCTCGCCACCTTCAAGACCCACCTCAAGACGCTCCTCTTCGACCGTGCTTTCGATCTCCCTGCTTCCCCCCACTGCCCTCTCCCCCTCCCCCATCCCGACCCTTAGCTCGGGTCCATAACTTTATCTGTCCAGTGTCTTGGGATGTCCTCCCGATGTGAAAAGTGCTATACAAATGTAATTTTGTTGTTGTTAGATCTGGTCGTGTCATTACTGTGAGATTAGAAGATTTTATCGTAGCCAAAGTGGTACAAAGGGATCTGGTTAAGGCTTGCTGAGGATAGAAAATTGGGAACATATGGATGAAGGTGCTAAGGTGGTAAATAGTGCACAAAATTGGTACTTAGTTAATGCACAATAAATTATATTCTATTATACATCTGGAAGCAACATTTGACCATGCTATAAAGGATGACTCACTTAATAGCTCAATTTCCCTTAGAGTGAGTGTGTATATGTGTGGCAAAGGGAATGAATGACGTTTAAGCAGTTAGTATTTAGATTTCCAAGGTGATAAACAAAAATCTGGTAAGTGTTTGGTTGGCACAAGAATTGAGACAGTTTTGACTCAGAATCCAGTACTGCCAGGATTATACTGCATTTTATTCTAGTTCTGGAAAAGCTTCCTGGGAACCTTCAGCTGGTTATCTGAGTTCTAATTTGTGGAATATAAACAGGAAAATGCAGGAACAATATTTGAGTGAAGCAAAACAATTCAATATCCCTGAATTCTGGCTGTTGTGGTACATTTCTGTGGTTTGAAATATATTCTCTGTCTGCAATGTCTTAGATAAAATCAGAAAAAAATTGAATTGCAAAGAAAGATGATCTGCATTCTCAGATGCTGTCCTGGATGAAGGTAAATTGTATCTCATTCAGGGTTGAAAGAATCCGATGCCCCTTTTGTACTGAAATGTGGATAATATTTAACAAACATTGCTGTTAAAGGAGGTCAATGTCTCATTTTGTAACTCTGCAGCTAAAAGTTTGGAAATTATATATATATATATGTATAAATAATATATTGTTTGCAAGGTGTGTTTGTTTAAATGCAGGGTAAGGGTCCTCGTACTCTCTTTGGGGCCTATTTTAAATAATAATTATCTTTGGATTTGAATTGGCTAAATAGGGAGAAACTTGGCAGCCAATTGCGCACAGCAGTGTCCCACAAACAGTCAGTCGTGGATTGAAGTGACCAATTCATTATTACTCATATATAAATGTGAACTGATTGAGAATAGATGTCTTTGCCTCCTTGTATCTGACCTCTTATATCTTAGATACTGTACAATATTCACACCCCACCTGACATGAGAAAGAGTGGTGGTGAGAGATGACTTGACAGGGTTGAGCGACAAAGATCCAAAATTTAATAAGATAATTGTCATAAAAAATCGTCTCAAGAGAAAAAGAGGTGCATTAAAATCACATTTACACTTTCCAGGACCTGGAGATATTCTCTCTG